TATACAAGCACACACTGCAGCCCTGACAAATGCCCCTGGTCATTTCAGTTGCTGTAAGGCTCTTGAGAATAGGATTTGGGGTTGGACTGCCCATGCTGAGACACCCTGCAGCAGGAAAAGATTAACCTCCCCCTTTCCTGGAATCTTGACCAAGTGCTGAGCTGTTCCTTAAGAGAAAAGCAAGTAGGCACCATAAATGTAATTTTGTGCTTAATGTATTATTTAGTTTGGCCCAAAGATGAGTACTTGAGAGCATGTGAGAAACACTTCGATGGTGAAGCACTTTGCAGTGATGATGCAGTGCTGGTGAAACACTTTTGTAAATCTGATGTGAAGAGAAGATCTGCTACTTTTGCAGAAGTGCAACTTTGCCTCTCTTATAAGCTCTATGCAAGTACTTGCCCACTTGCATGTAGGGAGAATCTGCACAGCAGAAAATTGGCAAGCACGTAAGTCCTTCCTTTATTGCCCCCAGAGAAGCAGGACTTTCTTCAGCTGAATGAACTTACATGGCCCTTTTCGACACAGAAGCCAGGACGTGGGAATGCTGGAGGGGTGGTTTTCATATGAACCATTTCTGCCTACACTGTTAAGCCCCACACACAAGCAGGCTATTGCTATATCTGTAAGTCAAACAAGCCTCACTGGTTTCCCCTTCTGTGAAAAGAGGGGACTTGTTGCAGCAGTCAATTTTGTGACCCACCAAGTACCCAAGAAAGCCATTTTGAGCAAGTCTATTCTTTTAGAAAGGATGGGGACTCCTGCTATGATAGTTGCAGTTGGTACACTACGGTCAGCATTTATAACACAACCTTTGAGGAACTGATGACCATACACAGAGAACATACAGCTCTAGAGCAAAAACCCAACATTCTGGGCTTGGTTTCATCCATGTGAGAATTCATGCAAAAGGGAATAGTTATTCTGAAACATTAAAATGACTCATCGGAGCTTCATCAATAGATTTGATGGAGATGCACCTTTTCCAAACTCCCCCACTTTTGCTAAAATGCTACCTACGACAGCCAAAGTAAACCCACATGTACTCTCCATTCAACATCAATACTGAGGTTTTTCAGCCAGGAGTGACTCAGGATTTCATATTCATGGCAACCATGACTCTCTCCCCACTATCACCACACAGTCTTTCTGGGATTCTGCTCTAGCAGAGTTCTTGCCTTGACTGGAGGAATTAAATGTGACTGTATTGCTGAAGTCCTGGCTGATATTTGGTATACAAACATAGGCCAGGTTATGGATGCTATTGCTCCTAAGCACGCTTTTGCTGCTGGTAGGGTCGTGTCAGCTCCCTGGTTTGACAGGGAACTGAGAGCAATGGAACAGAAAGAAAATCAGCTATAGTGCTGTTAGAGAAGAACGCATGATGACTCTGAGCCAGCATGGCTAAAAGACCCTTTAAAGGCCGAGGGTGCTGCAGTGAGGATCACATTTCTGCCACCACTATGTCGTCACATAATAAACCGGCAACACTTTCCTGTACTGTGCATGGGTTACTTCACCAGGCTGTTGGGGAAGGGGAGACGGAACTATCAGTGGCTCATCATGAACAATTTGCTTTGTTCCTTGCAGGTAATGTTGCTCAGATTCACCTTGACATGGATCCCAAATTGGGCAGGTCAAAGTGATGTAACCTTAGCAATTAGGCAGTTATTTTGGATTCTTTCTACTGTGTGAATCTCAAGGAAGTGGAGAGGGAATCATCTGTGTACTTGACCCATATAAATCAAAGCAGGACTTATGCCCTGGCTAAGGGAAGTGCTTTATACCTCTCTATGCAGAAGGGGACTTGTTTCTTCTTACTTAAAAGTAGTAGTAGTAAGGATTTGTTTCAAGTAGTCTTTCCTTGACCCAAGATATTTGTCTAACTACAGACTTGTTGAAACTCATTCTTGTGTTTCAGTCTCAGTCACTCTCATTAAAGTGACTGAGAAGGTGGTGGCATCACAATTCCAGATGCATCTAGATGAAACTGATGATCAGCATCCGTTTCAGCCAGACTTTAGGCCAGGATATGTGACTGAGACTGCTTTAGTCACCTTGGTAGATGATCTGGGTAAGGAACCGGATGGGGAAATGATGACCATATTGATTCTCTTGGACCTTTCAGTGGCTTTCAGTGCAAGTGACCTTTCTGGATCATCTGGTGGTCTTTGGACAGGGTGTTGTTTGCTAAAGCTGTTCTCTCTGTCAATGTTCAGAAGGTGGTGATATTGGAGATTACTATTCAACTCCTTGGCCATTGTCCTGTGGTGCCATGTAAGGTTCTATTTTGTCCTTCATTTTGTTTAATATCTTCTGAGAAAGATAGTAAGCTGCTGAGAAAGTTTGTTCAAACTTTTGAAGAGAGGTGGCATCAATATGCTGTTCTATTGCTTGTTGTTACCTAATACTGATAAAAGTAGTTAACACCTTTGAATATTGCCTGGATTCAATAATGGGCTAGATGAGAGCAAGCCAGCTGACGTTTAACTCAGACAAGATGGAGGGGTTGTTGGACAGGAGAAAGCCTAACCCAGAAACTGGAATTCAGCCAGTTCTGGAAAAGGTTGAAGGCTGGGGTCTGCAGCTTGGCAGGGATCCTTGAACTTTAGGTGATCATGGAGGTAACAAGGACACATTTATGCCAGCAGCAATCTTTTCTGAATCACTTTGATTTAGCAACAGTTATCCATGTCTTCATCATTCAAGCCTTACACAGCTTAGGACTTAGCTATCTAAGAAATCATCCATCTTGCTATAAACCTAGCCCAGTATAATCTACAAGAAAAGCCCTCCTGAGGGAACTGCTACCTGCGGAGACCTGTGTTGTCAGGCATGTGTGGAAGTGATTCTTTCTGTGTTGCTTCCTAACTGTGCCATGGTCACAGAAAGGGTGTAAAGACACATCTTTTCAATTTATGCCTTAAAAATGTGTACTTGTGATGTTTTAATGTTTTTATATTCCAGTTTTCCATGTTGCCTGGTTTCATTGTTTTAAACTGCAACACATACCTTGATAGCTTAGCAGATAAGGCAATGTACCTATAGAGGCAGAGTGGGGGAGGAAGGGAGAGAAAGAGAAACAAGCATGTCTCTCAGCTGTGGTTCCCTCTTTCTTTGAAACTCTTAGCAAAAGAGTTCCAATTGCTGCCCCCGCAATGTTTATTTTTGTTATCAGTTTAATATACTTCTAGCCTGCAAAGCATTTGGCACTTACTGCTAAGGTGCAGAAAGTGGCTTTAAGTCTTCTGGCTGATGGCTGATGTTTTCATGGTGGCCATTTAAAGCTACATTTTTCTTTCTTGAGTGAGTTCTAATATATTTAAAGTTTTCTGTGGCACTTTGATATCAAAGCAAGGAAAGTAACACTTAGATGATGCTTCAACCTGAAACCCATGCAAGAGCCAGGATTAGTATTAAATTGCCTCCAATGAAATGTTGCCTTCACCACATTCCAACAGTCTTAATTGTTACAATCTCTGCAATGTGATCTCCCATGCAGGTAAACAGTGGAAATCTGCTGTCTTCCCTGCATTCCCTAACATGCTTCTACCTTATCCTCTACTCTTCCTTGTTGGCTGTAGCTGTTTAGCATTACTTGACACAACAATGTTCTTACCAATTAAATTTAACTGAAAATGTATGCTGCCTTGAATTCCTAGCAAGAGGACAACAGGCAGGATATAAACGTAATGAGATGATGAAGAAGATGATGGTGGTGGAGGAGAAGAACAATAATGACAGCTGGCTAGGCAGGGCAGATATGACGATCTCTATCGGTCAGACCTGTGTTCATTCAAACTTGTTCCAGGTGTACAGTCAAAGCAACTGACTCCAGCAGAGAATACCCTCACGCAAGAGGTGCTGCTCTGGCAGCAGGTTGGGTGCAAGTGTGAGAAACCCTGAGCTGCTGGCTATTGTCAATTCTCTGAACCCAGAAAATCCCTGGGTCACATGTCTTTTCATTTCCAGTTTTCCAGCAAACCTAATCTAGAAGAAGATCTAACCATTTAGAACTAAGCACAGGAGCATGAACAAAAATCCCCAGCTGATCTATCTGCTTACCTCATATATCATAAGAGTATTTCACTATCAGTTTTATACGTGTGCCAGCAATAACAATGCATAGAAACTCATATCTAAATACTTATTTAAATGTACATCTCTGCATGCATTTTACCCTTAAATCTATTTCTTTACTTTTTGTTGAACTCAGAACTGCATTATAAACTTCTGGGAAGTGTAAGTGCATTCTGATAGGCATAATAATCAGATAATGCAGATTATTTCAGTATCTTTAAGAATGTGAACTTAATGAAATAAATGCCTAAATAATAAATTTAAGGTCCCAGCACCTTAAAAATTAATGTACTTTCTCTCATCTATGAGAGTTCTCAGTAGGCTTTAAGCCCCAACTCTATTTTTCGGCAAAAGGATAGGACATTCATTAATAGAAATCTTAGCATCATTATAATCTCTTCCTCTATGCCATCCCATAGCCAAAACTCCCTGGGTGGTTTACAATAATGTATAAAACAAAACAATAAAATGCATTTGAAACAACAATGTTAGAAGAGTTAAAATTAATTTAAAATAGCTTAAAATACAATAAAAAACAAAGCAAGACAAATTACCAGGATAATACCCTCAGGCTTAAATTTATTTAATTTAAGAACACTGAATAGGTATGCATTTTTGTGAATGTACACTCTCCTCCTAATACAAAAGCATTAGCCCTGGAGCAATGAAATGACATTTCTCATATACTAAAAGAGATCTGTGAAATCTGAGACTACCTCATTCAAGGATACATACTCGTACTTAGGGAATAGCTCCTAATTGTGTGGAAATCCTTATGTGAGCAGAGCTGCATCATGCTTTGGAGTGAGGAAATATGGACTTATATAGAAATCAAAAGCACAAAAATTCACAGACATAACTAAAAATCCCAATTAGAATGCCTCCTAAGAAAGCATTTGATACACCCAGTAATTTCTTACCTGGAAATATATATCTTCTGAATCAGGTTCAATAGCCTGCAACAATAACCTGCAACAATGGAATTGGGTAGTCAGTAACTGCCTCATACAGAACTCAGGCTTACATTTAAAGGCCCTGATCAAACAACTGTTCCTTTACCTCTACACAGCTGTACTTTCTCCAGGTTCCTTTTGGTCCTCTTAGAGACTCCGATGCACTGCCAGGCTAAAGCCAGCAGGCAGGTGAAGTGATGGAGGCAATCTTTGCATCATGTCCTTCTATATTGGCTTTTTTTGCTTTGGAGGTAGAGGGAAGAAGGCTAGAGAAGAATCAGGATATAATTGTATCCCAGTCTTTCCAGTCTCTTCCTCTTATTTCCTACCAGAATGTCCTCTTTCTCAGGGTGATTTCTGATCTTGGAGAGTACAAGTATAGTTCCTTTGGTGGCAGCTGCCAGATCTCTGACTCCCCTTTCTGAGGCTGGAGTGTTATCTTCAGCTTCATGGGAGGAATCTGAGGTTTTGTATGCTCCCTGGGACCAAAGGATCATTCTCTTAAAATCCTACCAGTGAATGTCAGAACTAATACAGTTTATGACTTTGTAACACATGTATATATAGAAACTGCATTCTTATTTTCACTATCAAATAGTAAGGAACATGTGTGTGTTTAGTTCAGGGAGATCAAAACTTCAAATCAATTTCAAATCAAACAAACACGCCTGGGCAAGGACACTGCCGCTGCTCTCCCCAACCCCAGCAAGGCCTCCGCGGGCTCCCCTGCCTCCTCCCTCCCCCGCCTCTCTGCACAGGTGGCAGCTGGGTTGGGCGCAGTGGGCGGCACAAGTAGATTGTGTGAGCAGGGCGCAGTAGAGCCCTTTTCTTGCCGCCACCGGCCAAAGGGTGACGACCTAAGGTCATCACCGTTCGGAGCCAAGAGGGGCTGGGCAGGGCCAGAGTTTCTGGTCCTTTTTTTTTTTTTTTGTGACTGTGTTTCTAGTTGGTTTTAATCTGGGATGGTTTTACCTGGGGAGCAGGTGGGTGCCACCATTGGGGTGGTGATGGGCAGGGGAAGGTATGGAGTTGGGGGTCTAACAGGCCTGCATTCGAGAAGGCAGGACAGATGTTTGATATTGGTCTCCTCTTCTGGTTATTCCCCCAACCAGAAGGTTCCTGGCAGCAATATCAGCCGGCCCCCGGGCCTGACAGTGATGCTGTTGAACACCAGGTCAGTCCATAATAAAACATCTCTCATACATGATCTGATCATAAAGGAGGGGGCCGACCTGGCATGTATTACCGACACCTGGGTGGGAGAAGGGGGAGATGTCTCCCTCACTCAACTTTGCCCACCCGGGTATGTGGTGCAACATCAGCCATGCCCAGAGGGAAGGAGGGGGTCACCTTGGTTCACCGAGCCTCCATTTCCCTCGCGAGGCTTCCTGTCCCTTCAAGACCAGGTCTTGAATGATGTTTGTACCTGGTGTTTGGTGATCGAGACAGATTAGGGACTCTGCTGGTATACCATGTACCCTCCTGCCCAGCAGACTCTCTGCCTGAGCTGACGGAGATTGTCTTGGACCTGGTGTTGAGGACCCCCAGGATGTTGGTCCTGGGGGACTTCAACCTTCACGCCGAGGCAGTTTTGCCCGGGGCGGCTCTGGACTTCATGGCTTCCATAGGGCTGTCCCAACATGTCACCGGCCCAACCCATGAAAGAGGTCACACGCTTGACCTGGTTTTCTCGACAGGTCAGGAAGAGGGTGGCTTGGAAGTGAGAAATTTGTTCCTAACTCATTTGTCATGGTCAGACCACTTCCCCGTGAGGTTTGAGCTTGGGGCTGATCTCTCCCTCCAGAAGGGTCCAGGCCCTATTAAGATGGTCCGCCCTCAGACCCAGATGGATCCAGATAAATTTCTGAAGGCTCTGGAGGGTTTTCCAGCTGACAAAGCTGACACTCCTGTTGATGTCCTGGTCGAATCGTGGAATAGGGAGATGACCAGGGCAATCAACACGATCACTGCTAAGCGTCTTCTCCCACCTAGCAGAGCCCGCTCGGCACCATGGTATATGCCTGAGTTGTGGGTGATGAAGCAGGCTGGGAGATTATTAGAGGTACAGGTGGAGGAAATTTCGGGATGAATCTGACCAAACAAACTTATGTGTTCACTATTGAGCCTATGCTGTGGCAGTGAGGGCGGCAAAGAGGCAGTTCTTCTCCGCTCCCATTGCTACCTCACAGTGCTGTCCAGCAGAGCTTTTCTGAGTAGTAGAAGGCCTGATACACGGGTGGGATATATGCCCGCCCGCCCCCTGAGATCTGCGGAAGAGGCCCTTCTCTGGGAACCCTCCGTGAAGGAAATTAGGAGGGTGAGTACCCGGAGGAGGGCTTTCTCTGCGGTGGCGCCCCACCTATGGAATGCGCTCCCCAGAGAGGTCCGCCTGGCGCCGTCGTTATTTGTTTTTCGGCGCCAGGCGAAGACCTTTTTATTCAAATGTCATTTTAATTGTTAATAGTATTTATTCATTTTATTCTTTTGCCAGGGCGACTTAATTTATACTGTTAATTTATATTATTTTAAGGAAGTTTGTTTATGTTTGTGAGCCGCCCCGAGGCTTTGGCGAATGGGGCGGCATAGAAGTTTCCTAAATAAATAAATAAAAATAAATACACTCTGGCCAGGAAAATGATGTGGTCACACCTTTGGCAGCCTGCTGTGACAACTTTGCCCAGCACTTTAAGGAAAAAGTAGCTCAGATTTGCCAAAATCTGGACTCCACAGTTGATATGGCTCCAGTACAGGAAGTGTCCAGAACGCCATCTGGTCCATCATTATTGGATGAGTTTCACTAATTGCGGCCTGATGATGTGGACAAGATACTTGGAATGGTACATCCTACCACCTGTCTTCTTGCCCCTTGCCCCTCTTGGCTACTGAAAGAAGCCAGTCACAGAATTGGACCCTGGGTCTAGGAGGTTATCAATGCTTCACTGAGGGAGGGCCGGGTCCCTGCCCCCTTGAAGGAGGCGGTGATCCGGCCTATCCTGAAGAAGGTGTCTCTGGACCCAGAGGTGGCTGCCAACTTTAGACTGGTGGCCAATATTCTGTTTTTGGGCAAGGTATTAGAGCGGGTATTGGTGGGACAACTCCAAGCACTCTTGGATGAAAAGGATTATCTGGACCTATTTCAGTCCGGCTCCACTGGCTTCCCAGTTGAAGTCCGGGCCCAATTCAAGGTGCTGGTTTTGACCTATAAAGCCCTAAACGGCTTGGGACCAGGATACCTGAAGGAACATCTCCTTCCGTATATGCCATCATGTCCCTTAAGATCGGTGGGAGAGGCCCTGCTCCGAGAACAGGAGGTAAAAAGGACATCCGCCTGGAACAGGACCTTCTCTGCACTGGTGCCCAGCTTATGGAATATGCTCCCCAGTGAGGTTTGCCTGGCGCCGAGCCTATACTTTTTTTGGCACCAGGTTAAAACCTTTTTAATTAATTGTTATTTTTTAAAAATAGTGTTTTTACCATTTAAAGTCACTTTTTGATTGTATTTATTTGTTTTCTGGTTCTGATAATTCTATTGTATTGTCTGACTGTTTTATGGTTTTGCTTTTAATTATCTTTTATTTATTTGCCCTGGTTCACATCTAACAACAACCCACTATGGACAATAATAAATAAGTAACGAATAACAAAAAAGTGATAAAAACAAGATCAGTAAAACCGCATCAATAAAACTAGTACTCTTCTTGAATAACAACATGGGTTGCTGTAGCTATGGACTCTCATTGGATGAGAGTCCTGCTCTACTTTTCAATTGTGGATGCTAACCATGTACAACTCAAGAAGAAAACTGTTCTTGTACCGTGGACTTAGGTGTTTGTGCTTAACAACCTATCGTTAAATCATAGCACAGTACTCGCATGTAAAAGCAACCCACAATTCAACCATTTTGATGATTCAGTCATTTTGTCAGGCAAATAACTATGTTTATGGTAATCAAGTACCCATACATCTTCTGGACTTCTCTAGACTTTCTACAATGAAACCAAAACCAGTTACAGCCAAACAAAAGTAGGAGAGTCCAATTTAATAGCAAGTTCAAGTTTAGTCATACTTTTAAAAGACACTTCATTTTAAGTTCTCCTAGTCATACTCTGCCTGCAGACACACATTTTATTTTGCTTTGAAAACTGGAATATATGACTTTAATGAAAGAGATCATGAAAATTTAATAGTTTTTAGCAGAAAAGCTATTCAGAGCCATCTATTCAGAGGCACTCCTCCCATGTTTAGAAGATGAATTCTGTCAGAAACTTTGCCTTCTATTTGAGTGACCTAAGAATTATTGAAGTCTGAGAGTAGCAAGGGAAAGGAGGCAGAAATGGTATAAGACATTAATCATGCATGTAAGTGTGAGTGACCACAGAAGTTTTAAAAAGCTGCTCTTCAACTTGATGTAAATGGGTGTGACAAACATAAAAAGCCATTCCCAAAACTTTTTCCCAAGGATGTGCCAACCAATTCAGCCTTAAATACAGATACCCTGTGTGTCATTTTCCGCACAGTTAACTAGCGTCAAACTTTGTCCAGGCAGCAAGTGAGGGTTGAGTAAAGTCACAGAGCAAAAGAAATCCAGAGCTGTGCTTAGGGAGGTTCAACCAATGCTACACTGTCAGGAATAATTGTATATACTGTGGGTTGTGTGTGCGTGTGTGTGTGCGGGGGGGGGGGGTATTATTCACTGAGTTAATTTTGGGGGAAAATGTCCACCTCCTTTTGGACCTCAGAAAGGTCCACCAGACATTTCAAGATTAATAACACAAACATACAGTAGAAATGGCTGGGGGAGCAAATAACATAGGCTAATTAAGGCTGTATTGAGTTCAACCCATTCAGTTCAATAGGACCTGCTCTCAGTTTAGAGATTATAGGATTGATGCATGGTGCAATTTTAAAAAGCTGCCTTCCTAAAATTTGAGAAATGGGTCCAAGTAAATTTCTTAGAGGAGGGTATGTCAAAATCTGTGTGTCACTAGGAAGAAACACATTCTCATGTCCCCCCTTCTTCATTTTAGATCTTTTAATGCTGTGGTCTGTTCTTTTTCCCCAATTCTCTGGGGGACAGCTGTAAATTACATGCATAAAAGTCTTTTATATTTTCTAAAGGACATAACTGTACATGGTATACAATTAAAGACACAGGCTGTGCCATCAAACATAAAATTTAAGAAGTTAGATATGGATATGGCCTAATCTTTCTATAAAGCATTCAGTTGAAGGTCTTTAAAAAAACTGCAAAATGTCCATGGGTGCCTTAAAAAATGCTTTGGATTTGCTGTCCCTTTGGTTACTAAGAGTTAGCTTTTTCTATGGCAATCTTTCCCCCATGTGTGTGGTAAGGCATCCAAACTGCCTTATCCAACAGGCTATGATGCCAATTATAAGAAATATGGATTCACCTCAGGCAGTCCCTGGGATATGAATGAGATCCATTACTGAGAAAATTGAAATTCTTAAGTCGAGTTTGTATGTAAGTTGTGTTAGATATAATAAGCCCTCTACATTTGCAGGGTTTAGGGGCACAGGGCTCCCATGAAAGTGGAAAAAACACAACTCTCTCTAGGCCCCCTCCACCCAAACTCACCAGGGCCACCACTTTGCACCAAGGAAATGCTGGAGAGATTTCCCTCTCCAGAAGGGTAGGGCAGGAAGGCATGCTCTGGAGGCTCCCTCTCTCCCCTTTCATTCCCCCCCCCCTATGGTGATGCTTTGGAGGCCTTCCTTCTTGCCCCCCACCCCACCCCACCCCCATGGTGATGATTTCCTGCAATAATGTTTTCTAAAAAAAATAGCTTTATGACAGTCTGTTCATAGGTACAAGTTGTTTGTAACTCAGATGTTTGTAAATCATCTGTTTGTAATTCATCTGTATGGAATACAGGAATGCCTGTATTCAATTCCCCCACACTACTGGCTTGGCTACTTCTCAGAACTGAAACAGTTCCAAAAAGAGAAGGGCAAATTTCTGTATGACTGCTCCCCCGATCTGATCCTGCCTGTCAGCACTGACCAGAGACAAAGTTATAGCAAAACTGGGGAAACTGGGTAGGAGCAATCTAGCCCTATGTTAGCGGGGAAAACAGGAAACCACTGTTTCCAAGTCACAGTGCACTTTGCAAACAGGGTAGCTAAAAGCCAGTCATTTAATTTTTAAGAGTGAAATTGGATGGTGTTATTGAAACTAATGTTGTTTTCTTGTTTTAAAAAATGTATTATAGGAAGACTGTATGCAGGCAGTCCTTTCAATTCTGTTGTGCAAATGGACCATACTGTTTGCATAACAGCAGTTGTGTACTTCTGGGGGCAATGATGAAGAATTGTGTGAGTTCTGGGCCAAAACATCAGAGGAACACAATTTAACCACTGTGTCGTAAAAGAAAAACTTGCTTAATATTAAACAAGCAGAATATAAGCATGTTAGCCACACAGTAAATCTCTAAATTGAATTAGTGCCTTCTACCACATAGGCTAAGCTCAAGAAAGCTTTTCTATGTAAATGGAAAACCAATTTGCCCATTACTCAAAAATAATTATTTACACTCTGCCTACAAATACAGGCATTTAATTCTCACCAGATGAAAATAAACTGGTCTACTCTGCTCAGCAGCAATCAGTCCTAGTTTCAATCTACCAGTTACAAGCCTCTCATTTTTGTTCACTACTCTAATTTTGTGGGGATGGGTCAAGACACTGTGAAGCAGAAAGGAGCCACACAGAAAAATACTTAAAAAAAAGAAATTACACATCTTCCTATATTTGTATATTGGACTTAAACTGCCATAGGCATATTTTAAAATATTCACTGCACAGGTAAAACAGAAAAATAAAAAAAAAATCAGAGTGTGCAATAATAAAGGTGCAAGCAACAGGTACAAGGTCTAATTGTAAGACTGCAATCATACCGTAACTCATGCCCTATAAAATGTAATATTACGGTTTCTGCGAAGGCATTTCGGGATCTTCAGAATTTCAGATCTCTAATATTGAGGGAAACACCCTCAGAAGGGAAATCTGACCCAAGATATGTTCTCCCAGTTTGTGCAGAAAGCTCCAGAAAACTTACCACTCCAATAAAATATACCGCTCGGGAGGCATCTTGAGGGCTAGCCTCCCATGGCCTCAACATGTCCCATAATGCTGGTGGGGGATGGGGAGAACTACACCAGCCCTGAAGCTGGCATAGTGCCCTTCCCTCCCCTTAACACTGATACGGAGTGAACAGCTAAAGAAGAACTGGGGCCTAGCAGGGCTTTGAATTCCTCAGCAGATGCCAGAGCAACCCACCCCAAACAACACCAGTGTTGAGAAAATATTTGTGGTAGTAGCAACGGGAAACTTAATTTAATCCCTGATGTAAAGGTCTTGTTCCTTGCTGCTTTAAATAAAGATTCAGATCAGAGATAGGGAACATGCAGCCTCTAAATGTTGTTGGACTACAACACCCATCACCACTGATAACTGGGCATGCTGGTTAGCGCTGATGGAAGTTGGAGTCCAATGTTATCTGGAAAACTACAGCATTTCCACCCCTAATTTAAATGATATATTTCAATCACCTTGATTTAAATCAATCCACCCTGATTTCCAAAACAGTTAAACCTTGAACCATTTGAGCAAAATGAGGAGCGGAAGGATAGATAATTTTTAGTAACAGAAGTATGTATCAAGAATGTATTTAATTGGTATAGTCTTACTTACCTCTGCAGAGATTCTCCAAATCCTCCTCGAGATCTAAGAAAAGTGTGAAACCTGCAAATGTTAAATTTATAACATTAATCTACCATTACTCAATGTGTTAAGACAATGCATGATAAGAAAAAATGCAGTTTATATAACCTTTCACTCAGATACATGCAATTCAAGAAATACGGCCAAGTTTTATTTGGTACTTTATTTTTTTATTCAGAGGACAAACAAGAGAATGGGAGTGTCCTATGTGGTCTCTACCGTTTCTTCCACCTCTTTTTTCAGCATTAACTGCAGCCAGCATTAGGCCTGCACCAAGATGAGTACTTCTTGTGCTGTGTCAGTGTGTTGACATGGGGACCTGGGCTCTGGTCGCCATTTGGCTATGAAGCTAGCTAAAAGATTTGGGGTCAGTCACAGGCCATCTGCCCAACCTACCTCACAGGGTTGTTGCTTAGATTCCTCACAGGAAGAAAAAAGGCAAGGTATAAATGCAATGTCATAACAATTTTTTCAACACAGACAGAAGCTGCTTTGCAAACCCTGATTCAGGCTATACTGCCTTGTTTCTAGCAATTGCACTGTCAAAGGAGCAGTGCTACCCTTGAATGTGCAGCATGCATTCAAATCCTTGCTCTAACATGAACAATACTATTATTTTTGTTCCAGGTTTCCTTTTCTATAAAATAGGGAAATACATCACAAAGTTTTAAGGATGGAAGAGATAGCAATTATAATCTAAGACTTCAGACACAATTAAAATTCCTCAGATAAACTTATGCCTTTAGGGGGTTTTTCAGACTATAAATCAGCTGTTTTAGTTCTTCCTAGTGAGTAGAAAGGCCTTCATTTCATGGAGTGAAGCCTTCAAATGTAGCACATTTGTAAGAGCTGGAAAAATCAGGCACACCCTGAAAGGGGCAGACATGCAATTTTGTCCCTTGGCCTAAACTACCCTGGCTTGAAGTTGCACAGACTGAAAATCTATGTAAGAGTTAGGGAAGCCTGCTATCTAATGTCTGTTAATGGTATTGATGGGTTCAAAATGTGAACACACTTAAATTAATTAAAATTAATACATTAAACAATAAAATAGTCCAGGTAGGCAGGCATCTTCTTTTACTGTTGTAGATTCAATACCTCCACAATGCTTGTAACTTGCAAAGCTATTCCCTTTTTAATTTTAGAATTTAACGGATATTCAAATGTAGCATTGCACTTTTTATACCTCATATTGTATACAGCAGTATCTACTCCCACCAGTGACATTAAAGAAAGCAAGCATTATTTAGGGCAAAGTAAATATAAAAAGCTAACAAAAGGCAATCCAAGGAGGGGAAAAAAAGGGAAAGTGGGTGAGTAATGAGAGGTAAGTAAACACTAAAATTACCAAAAGGAAATGGGAGACAATGGTACAGGAATGCTTTCATGAGGAGTTAAATGGAGTACTAAATAATAATGTTCTATATTACATATTTAGGGCGATATTTTTAGAAATACAGAACTACAACTGAACATCAATTTTTCCAACAATGTGACCCAGTCCCTGAAGTCAGAACAGATGCATTTCCTCTTACATGGTCATTTCTCATAGTGAAATAGTGATTCAGCTGTGAAAGCCAAGCCATCATCCTTCTTTGCCATCGTAGGGCCCATATGAAACCGCCAAGTTCCTCCATTACCTTGATGGGCTTAGCCTGGCTGCCTTCATGGGAAAGAAAAGCCTCCCTCCAAAGCACAGTTGCTCGGCACAGATTGACACACAAAGTATTGTGTCAGTTTTTAAATGTGCAATTATTGTTTTCATTTTAGAATAATAAAGATTATCTAAGGCAGTATTCCAACATTGCCCACTTGTGAGTGTGGTTCACTGCCACTTTCTCTCTGTGCATTGTCAGTCCAGATTATCCCACTGCAGTACCCACTGCTCATGCAACAGAGATTTTGCACTTGCGGGAGCAAAAATGCTCATTTCTGGGATACGACACATCAGTGGAGTTCCCTTCTATAAATTCTGCTGACCTGCCTCATTTCAGAAATAAACATTTTCACTCATTTCAGATTGTCCCTGGAAGAGCTAAAGCCCCAGAATCAGTAGAGCTGGCCATGCATGGGCAGTCGATATTGGAAAGTGCTTCTGGTTTAGAAGGAAAACTGAATTCAATACAAACAGGTAATGCCATCTGTTAAAAAAAATCTTTTGTTTTAAAGAAAGACCAATCTGGAAAAATATCTAACTTTTTGAGATCAAGTATTACAGAATGTATGTCACATATGTTCTTTCTTAATGGGGACTTCCTCTTAGGCTAACAACCAGCAAGATATCACAGGCATGGGATTCAGGAGGCAAGACCCTATTATTTCACTATTAGCCTCCATTTACACTTTAACTGCTAACAGGTAGGCACATGTTCATTTCTCAGTTAATTAATATTTATACCTACCAACCATAAAAGAGGACATTTACCTTCCATCCTATAGAGAAATACTATTTGTCCTGATATCATGCACCTAGAAGGTAGGTGCACACAGCCTTCACCTACATGATTTGATGCTGTAATGCGCTCTACATGGGGATACCCTTGAAGACAGTCCGGATACTTCAATTGGTGCAGAATAGAGCTGCCAGGTTGCTGATGGGGACTGGGCGTTGTTCTCCTATAACCCCAGTTCTCCGTCAGCTCCACTGGCTCCCGATTGAAGTCCGAGCCCAATTCAAGGTGTTGGTTATGACCTATAAAGCCCTAAATGGCTTGGGACCTAGATATCTAAAGGAACGCTTGCACCCATATATGCCCTCCCGCCCCTTGAGATCAGCAACGGATGCCCTTCTCCGGGAACCCTCTGTGAATGATATTAGGAGGGTGAGTACCCAGAGGAGGGCTTTCTCTGCAGTGGCGCCCCAACTATGGAATGCGCTCCCCAGAGAGGTCCGCCTGGCGCCGTTGTTGTTTTTCGGCACCAGGCTAAGACCTTTTTATTTAAAACTTATTTTAATTGTTAAATTATTGAATTAATTAGGATTTTAACATTTTTAGCCGAGAATGCACCAGGGGTTTTTAAATGTTTTTTTTCAACTTTTTTATTATTATTATTTATGCATGTTTTTATGTATTCTTTGTGAGCCGCCCCGAGGCTTTGTTGCGATGGGGGCAGCGTAGAAATGTTTAAAATAAATAAATAAATAAATAAAATTACAAGATTTGATGTTTACGCCTAGCACCTACTGAAAATTATTGCTTTCACAATTGTCCTCTTGTTTGTTCCTAGAAGTAGACAGAATTCTGAAGCACAAGTGGCACATGAAATATTTTAAATTATGCATTATTTTTATCTTGTTCTTATAATTAGAGAGCTGGAATGACATAGTAGTCAACGGGCTAGTCCAGGACTCAGGAAATTTGGCTTCTAGTCAACTAATATCATGGACTAATATCATGGCCAGTCATGGACTCTCAGCATCATGGATTCTCACAGCCTTGTGAGAATAAAATGGAGAGGAGGAGGTAGATTATATAAGCCACCTTGGGTTCCTTGCTAGAAAATAATCAGGATATAAATATAGAAATATAATTCAGAATATTATTTATCATCGTGAGTGGTATAACAGTGTTACAATAAATAATACCTGAATGAGCACCTGCTCCCATATATACCTACCTGGTCCCTAAGATCTGGTGAGGAGGCCCTTCTGAGAGAGCTATCCTTTAAGGAGGTGAAGAGGGGGCTTCTCAGTGGCCATGCCCCATTTATGGAATGGCCTTCCGAAAGTAGTTTCCCTGGCGCCATCTTTACAATCTTTTTGGCACTAGGCGAAAACAGTCCTCTTCTCCAGACACTGATTTTATACTTAAATAATTTATACTGATTTTAGCTTTAATATGTTTTAACTTATTGATATCTGAGCTCAGCTGTGTATTTCTTTCTTTTATTGCATGTTGTTTTATTACTATTTTATGTAATATCATAATCCACTTGGAGTGTTCAGACTAGCATAGCAGCATATAAATTGAATAAATAAAACAATAAATATATGAACTCTGTGACCAAGCTTTTGCCTAGGGTCCTTTGCAGCATCAGTCCATCATATCTGGCTTTAGTTTCTGTGTGGACCATCATAACAACTTAGTCAGTATTACATCGCCAAGTCCCTGTTCTTAGAATGAACAGCAACAAAAAGACGATGCTGCTTTGCAGTATTAACAGAACTATTTTGTTCCAAGCACTTACGAACTACTGAGGCAAGTGTCCAGAGAGTTACTTTAGCCACACCATGTGATGATCATTTTTTACTCTTTTTTCTGAAAAAGAGGTCATACTATATACTGCTTTTGAAACTGCTTGGAATACCAAAAGTGGCTGGGGTTTTGCAAGGTGGGAAGGGGAAAGGAGGGGAACAAATCCATACCCTTTGGGATACACACATGTATATTCTTGTTTATTTCCTAAGTATTCCAGTAAAAAGAGAAAAAATCTTTCATTTAAAAATATTAATGAATTTACATAGTCTACCTTTTTTCCTCTAAGGAACTCAAATGCCACTTACACAATCCTCTGTATTTTATCCTCCCAAGAACCCTGGAAGTCCCAAAGTCTCCCAGTAAACTGCATGGCTGAGTAGGAACTAGAAATTCAATCTCCCAAGTCCCAGTGCAGCACCCTATCACACCACATTGGCCCAGTTACAGTTAAACTGGGCCAGTTACAGTTAAACTGCTAAAAAATCCATTTAACCATAGATAAAAAGTGTCTTCTAAAAAACCGATTCAGTACCTGCAACACAGCAGTCAACGGTATGTTCTGGGGGAAAAGCTTGTTCAACATGCCAAGTCTGAGCAATCATACTTTACAGTCAATTTAACTTAAGGCAATACACAGCTGTTGCTCTGGAAGTTTCCCGCTGAGGAAGAAATAATGAAGGCCATATGACCAGTCTTCCAGAATGCATTAAAAATTAAGCCATGGCTGGGGGGGGGGGCGCTAGGCAAAAGAATGGTTAAAAGCAATAGAAACTATGACCAGCAGAATAAAAGAATTCAAAATAAAATAGACCATAAAATTTA